AACTAATAGAACCCTTGATTTTACGATTTAATTGACTTCTGAAGTGACATTTTACTTATTCTCAATAGAAAATTTATGTACAAAATTATACAACAAAAGTACAGTATAGTATACTTTATAATACATACATTCATTCATTAAAAGTTGATGAAGTATAAACACAATAAAATCTTTGCAAATTTTTAATTATTTACTTCAAATTATTAATTTCTTCAATAAAGAAACACATAGATAGTACTCCGCTTTATATTTAAGATGAATTTCGAAATGTAATCGATGATTGGTCGATGATACGTTTATCCGTACGATGATTGGTTTGGGTAGAATTTAAATTTAAATTTGAAATTAATCTGAATGTATTATTGTTATTTTCATAACGTAATTTATTAATATTGTATATTATAGACGATTTTTATCCTTAAATTTTTTTTTTTTAAAAAAAGTATATAAATACGTAAGGATATACATTAACTTTCTAGCATTATTTTCCATATATTTATACACAAGATGTGATTTTTTCACAATTGATATTTTATGTATGCATCAGTATATCTTTCCATTCACTACTGATATTGATAGGTCTCTAATGACATTGATTTCCATCCATTCAAAAGCCATTTTGTCTGAAACCAGGATGAATCTCGTTTGAATCGATTAACCTGGTTTTTCCAGATTATCGTCGAGAAAAAAAATAAATAAATACAGACAAACGGACGGGTGAAAAGAAAAAAAAAAAATTGAAAAAATATTCTTAATTTTTTCTCTTTCTAAATCGTTACAATGAAAAATTGAAATTAAATTTTAAGGTACAGAAACCCTCACTCGGTGTATTAATTATAAAATGTTGCGTGTATTGCGTACAATATGTAATTCATATTAGAATTATAGAGAAGCTTTTGCAGTGTTTTCTATAATCATTACGCTTTAGAATCCTTAAGGCGTGTTGCTAATGGGTTGAAGTGCAAAGTCGACTCCCCCTATAACACTGTTGATTATTCCGTTTTATACGAATTCCATGTTGTACGAGTCACTTAGATTTTACAAATACGTGTGCCGGGCTGTGAATGGCTCGTGTATTTGTAAAATCTAAGTGACTCGTACAACATGGAATTCGTATAAAACGGAATTATCAACAGTGTTATAGGGGGGTCGACTGTATTCTTCTTTTATTCGTCCATTGAGAATCCTCCAGAAGGATTCGCTCTTGAAGCATCGCGAACAATAAAGGATTAAAATAATCCTGACCCTTTTTGGTATTAAAAAACAGTAACATTTATAGAAGAAGAAGCATAAAACAAGAGGAAAATAATAAAAAAATACCTTTACAAATGATTATATTTAAAAGATCTTCAGTAATTTGGTTTCTTACAGTTTAAAATCTTGATGATCCATGCTTAAATTCTTGGTTTCCATTAGTTTTAACTTAGAAATTCTTGTATCATATTCATTTAATTTGACTTGGCCATCACTTTTTGTACCAATTTAATTTGGCTATACCTTTTTTTAGTGTTAGATTTTCTTCTTATTTCTCCCTTAGAATCTCTTTTTCTTTTCTTCGGGATCATATTCACTGAAAGAGAAGAGGAGATGGCCGAGTGTAAATAAGGTTTAAAAACACAGATTTTAGACGTTTCACCGTTTACACTAACAATTCAAGAGCCCCGGAGCGTAAGTTGAAGAGGGTAAAAAATAAAAAAAGAAAAAAAAATTCTTTCTGGAAATATTATTTTTGTCTTTAAATTAAATTAAACCATTGGCGTCACTCTACTCCTCCTCCACACGTTCATACAAACGAGCAATATTTTTTGAAGCAACACGCAATATTTTAGTCCAGATAAATCTCGCAGTTCTTTTGGTAAATTGCAAAAAAACATTTTTTTTTTCTTTTGTTTTTTCATAAAAGAAACGTGCCAATTGTACGTTGCAAAGCGTAGTCCTTCAGCGTAAAAATCTAAAAGGAAAATACAATTAAAAGGGGTGGGTCAAGTTTAATTAAGTAGTTTAAATACGTTAATAAATAAGCCAATTTTGTACAATATCCGAATATTTTTACCGTCCCCGAGTGTGAAGTGCCTGGGGAGATCACGGACCGGAAACGAATGGAACAAATTCGAGGGTACTTTTCTATGACCGGAAGTAGGAAAAATAAAATTTTAATAATATTTTTTTATTTTATCCTAAAGAAATTTACTTCCGAAGGGAACGAAGATCCCGCTGGGTCTTCTCGAAATTGATACAAGAGCATTGTGCCTTTTATTTGTATGTGTGTGTGTGTGTTTTTTTTTTCTAGTTTATATATATATAAAAATAGGCTATTTACTAGTTCATTTCGATATGGCAACGTAAAATACTGCTTATAATTTATCTGTCGTGATGCCACATTACGTGTATAATTTCCAGTGGACACGATAGTTTGCTGCCTAATGGGACTCATTTCGTAGAGTTTGGCTTACCGACTGAAGAGGTTTCCCACTTCCGCAACCGACTATAAAACACTATTTGACAATTACACACTATTTCAGCTCGTTTGCTAAGCAACCGTGACGTGGCACGCGTGTTCCAACGATACCTATGAGAAACACTAACTAACGCTCGTCGTCGTGGTACCCATTGCTTTACGACGTACTCTACGAGTTACTTCTATTAATTTGGCTTCTATCGTTTACTAGGAAACCAATTTCGTGTTCCTTCCGTCTATTTAAGGTGAGTGCCATAAAAATCTGTTAGGTTAAACACCGTTGAGTACTATAGAGCCCATCTTTTAACCTTCAGAAACTGATGCATGGGACAATGGCACTGTCGTTCTTTACCACGTTGAAGGTTCTTCTTTGTTCTTTGTGTGTTGTAACGGGTCTTAAACACAATTGCAATTCGACTGAATCCCAGTGAAAGCACCCGTTTAACAAGATGTTTCCGAGAACAGGAGTTAAAGAACGTGATTCTATAGACGTGAAATTCTTAGTGAGTTGAGTAAACTTCGGCTAATTTCGTGACAATTCTTTCCTATATCTAAAACACTTGATCGATTCTTAATTATAGATAAGGGCCTGTGTTTTCTTTCTAAAGATTGCTCTATTTTTTGCCGAGAGAGAGAGAGAATGGTTCGATCTACCTCAATATTTTTTCTTTTTTTTTAATCAAAATCTTCTAGTGGTTCTTATATTAAAACTTTTATTTGGATGTCGCTAACACTTTAGAATGGTTCCTAAAATACATAAAATCTAAAAGAAATCCTTCTTAAAATGTGTTAGAACTCGAGAAAATGATTACAAAAGCCCTCAAAAATGATTTGGCTCTCAATCTGAAACCTCAAAAAAAGACTGAAGACATATCTCAATACACGTTTATTTATTCATTTATATTGTTAGAATACGGGTTTCTCTTGTGTTTTCCTCACATTTCCCAAGTTATATAATTTCCTAAATCTCTCGAAATGTAATTTTGTAGCATTAAGAGAAATGTAGTGTTATTTAAAATGGGGAGGAAATCAGAATTTCGAGTTAGAAGAACGTATAAAAGGGTATTGCTTCGAAAGGGGGGGAATGCGTAATTGGTTTCCCGAACGTATAAAAGTTAAGAACAATATCTATCACGAGAAAACCCAGCGAGTTTTTTGATACCTCGGCGAAGGGGTGATCGATAAAAAGCACGCGCAGCGCTTCTTTTTAGCACGCCTACACCAAGAAAGGAGGAAGGAAAGAAGAAAGGAGGGGGTAGAGAGAGAGAGAGAGAGAGAGAGAGACGTGAAGGAAAGGCATTCTTTTGCATATTTTCGCGCGTTCAAAAAAAAAAAAAAAAAGGAAGCAGGGATGCCCGGTCAGGGGGCCTCTCCGATTAAAACATATAATATAGGCTATATCTAGCGACAACGGGCGATATTTTAACATTTTATTTGCTGGAAAATCGATGGTTTTTACGGTATTATGTTGGTATATGTTTTAACTTATTCCGTTTTTAATCATTTATAAACCGATACTCGTAATGGTTTCTTAAAATTTTAACCGTTTACCACCGTTAGAAATTACGGAAAACGGTTCCGTTTACGCTTATCTTTACTAAATAAATGCTTTAAATATATGTATTACGTTTAATTGCAGTGATTTCGTAGCTTTCGAGTAAGAATCGTTACGTGTTTTCTCACTTTAAACTCATCCCTTTCGTGAAGGGAGAAAGGGTAAGAAGACGAACGATTTAACCGATTTTTCCCGTCGTTTTAGGGTGGAAAAGAGGGAAATTTTTTTAAAAAATTCTCTTTTACGGATCGATTAGACTTTTAAACGTTAGATACCGGGCGGCTCGTTTGAAGAGGGAGTTTGACGGCGGAGAAAGTAACCGCGTGACATGGTAACACCTTCGATTGTAACGACGATTATCGGTGGATCAGGAGGCCTCGACCCCGTCTGGGACATTTTATAATTATTTTTTTAACATCTCGCGCCCTACCACCACGGGTGCAAGGGTGCTCCTCTTTTATCTCGTTCGTAAAAGTACCGTTCGATCTGTTCTAACTGTCGTTTAGGGGTCGAAAATACACAAGCGAGTGAGTGTTACCAGTATAGGTAGGTGTGCAGCCTCACCCGCCTGCTAAATATGGTAGGTGTGTGACAGGTAGGTGTGTGAGCGGTCATTGAATATGGCACCACAACCGCCCGCGCTCACTGCTAAATTTTGGCCGCACCCTATTCCCTAAAACGTTAGAGGTGTCGGATGGTGTTGTCGTCTTCCCCTTCCTGAAAGTGACGACCTTCTACGAGAAGGTCGTTAGATCCACTTAAACAAACGGAGGAATCCGTCTTGTGATGTCTAGAAAACGTCCCCGAGATTTCGTCCTATCTCTCCGCGCCTCCGGACCATTTATTCCGCCAATTATCGACCCGCGCGTGTCGACGCGACGACGTCGCGCCACGCTATTGAAAACGTTGGCAATTTCGCGTTCGGAGACGTGTCGCGCGCGGGGGCGTGATTGATACCTGTTTTATTAACGGCGCTTTGAATTTCAGGTGAGAAGCCTCACAAGTGTGCGGTGTGCGGCAAAGCCTTCAGCCAGTCCTCCAACCTGATTACCCACAGCCGGAAGCACACGGGTTTCAAGCCCTTCGCCTGCGAAGTATGCGGACGAGCCTTTCAGCGGAAGGTGGATCTACGGAGGCACAAAGAGACGCAACATTCGGACATTAGACAATTGCAGCAGTGTTCTCAATAGGTGGATGGAGCAGTCAGTCGTCGCCATTCACCGGGACCTATCCCCTTCGCCTATAAATATATATATATATATACACACACAGACACAGACACATAACGTACAGTACGTGCGCAGGTACGGACGGGGCCGACGCATCCTTGCCCATTTACGCGTAAAAAAAAAAAAAGTTTCCTTTTCGCGCCCCCGAGCGCGCATCTTCGTAGCTGCGTTTGCGCGCCGTTGGTTCCGAGTGCCGTGATGTCGTGTGACGTGCTAGTGACGCATCCTCGCTCCGTTCCGAAGGGCCGGAGGGATCGGACGGACGGGCCCGACCGCCGGGCCCGCCGTTCGGCGCGGGCCGCTCCGGGGCCGGGGACATCCCCGTCACCCGCCCGTCCGGTCGGCTTTAGCTATGTCGTGTGAGTCGAAATAAAGATTCCGTTGTCAAAGTTTCGAGTGTCTGGTTCCTTTCGCTCGCGCTCCACACCGCGAAGCGAGAAAACATATACGCGACGCGTCGCGTGGTAAACTAAGAAAAGTCGCGCCGATCCGAAAATCATTCTCCTTAATTACAGACTCGAATAACACGCGATTTTCTCGCGCGCGATTCAATCTATCACCGATACGAGAGTTCTGTTTTGTGCGTTACTCGACTCGATAAGCGTAACATTAACTGGAAAGAAGCGCGTAACAGCGAACGGAATAACGTCGCGCGCCTTTCGCGACCGAATGCGAAGCGACGGTAGTGTCCTACGCTTAAAGCGAGAAGAAAGGAGATCTCCCTGCTACAGTTTCTAGCGAGGAGGAAGTGATAGATGTGTTCTAAAAGTACAGAATCAGTTAGCAAAAGGGAGAAGCGATAAATGTCTGTCGAAGGACTCGGAAGCCATTTCTCAAACCAGACATTCACAGCGACCGGATTACTCCTTAGTGGACCTAACACTTTTCCCGTTACCGGAAGTGGTTCTTACCATTCTCGGTACTTTCTACTCTCTGTCAGCATATTCTAGCATTATCCTATCATAACAAAGGACAGTTTTTTAAATAATAGGCCTTAAAAATAACGGTCTCTTCTCGCAGACACGCCCGAAAATATACCTCACTGTATGCCTCGCGACGTGTACTGTTACGAGAGACGGCGCACTTTACTCCGAAAGACATAAACGTCTGTGTGTTTTCCGGGGCCTTCACCACAATAATAATAATAATCGAATCGTAAAAATTAATCGCTTAAAACGGACCACAAAAGGCGCAGTTTGGCGGAATAGAATACACGAGATGTACGGGGATGGAACAACTGTCGTAGACGATTCATCAAACACACACTAGGCATTACACGGCCGGATAAAAAACGTAATATTTCATAGGTATTTTCCCAGCACAATACATTCTAATTTACATAATATACACACACACCGGAAACGTCGGCAAATATACGGAATCGGGTGTAGAAATTACAGTCGGATAACCGAGTGTTATTTGCACCGTACCAGACACGGCTACGGAGTACCACCTCGGTTACGGAGTGGAAGGGAATGGCTTTCCGACTCGACGTACGAGTAAAAATGTCCTCTCCCCCCCTCGTCTGCAAACGATCACCCACGTAAAAGGGAACATTATTCGGGTTCGGACTGCGGTCGGGAGACGAATCTTAAAGCACAATAACAATTTTATTGCCGTTATTATGAGGTAGGAATTAATGACGCGGTGCGTAGTGGTGCGGAAGGGATGTTTTGTATCCGCCAAAGGGAGAACTCGTCACAAACGCGACGTTTATCGCCGACACGAGGCGGTGACGTGTGTCGTCTTTCCAGACGTGGGCCGTCCGAATGGTTTTCTCGTCTACGGGATTCTTTCGGGGGTCGAGTGAATTCTTCTACTGTTCATTTTACCGTTTCGGGAGAGAGAGGGCCCGCGCCGATCGATTCCGGAGAGTCCCGACGGGTGAGCAGGGAAGCGGAACCCGGAGAACAGGGTCCTAGAGGGACCCGCGACTCCGGAGACGTATTCGGTCACGTACGACGTTCGGGGACCACCGCAGGATCGTCGGGAGTCCCGCGACGCCGACGGTTAGCGTCGGGCCGCGTGCGGACGATAAAGGAGGACGAGGCCGGCCGAGGGCGCCGAGCCCGCGGGCAGGAGGCGGGGAACTAACACAATCACCGCCCGTCGTCCGGAAGGATGGCCCCGGGCCGGTCTTCTTCTCGGATTGGATTTCCGGCCGAGCGCGCGCCCTTCCCGCTAATCACTCGTTAGCCGGGACGGTCCCCGATCGTCCTCCTCCCCCGAGAGGGGAGGCGGTGCCGTTCGATGCCCGTCGGTCTTAAGCGACGGGGGAGGCCGCAAATCCGATTGTCGACTTCCGGCGGTCGCTCGGGACGGTCCGAATTCGGCGGCCGGCCGCGTTTCGGCCCATCGATCGGGCCCGTCGCGAGGTGTCATCGATTAGGCCATCGATCGACCGCCCGCGTCGTCGCTTCTTCCCTCGTCCGACGCCGCGCTAATTAAGAGTCGATACCGCCGACCGTTTCTTCCGGGAAGGGGGACCATCCTCTCCCGTCCGCGCCGCGCCCCGCGTCTTCCGGCGGAAGCGACGTGGCCACCCGTTTCCGGTGGGCGACGACGAATCGGGACGTCCGCTCGCCCGCCGCTCCCGACGTCGAAAGGGATATCGATCGGGGCCGCGGTGGCCACCGCCGGCCCATTAATCAGTCGGCAGATCTTCCAACGCAAACATGGCGACCGATTTGTTTGGGCAGGCGGAGGAGAGAGAGAGACACCCTCTCCACTCGATTAGCGCTCCTTGTTTGTCTACGGGGTGCGCCCCGTTCTATCCGTTTAATATTCGCGCCGCCTGCCCCTCGCCCCCTCCCGCTCGCGTCCGGAGAGGGCGGCGGGTGCGGCAAAGAAAGCAACGCGGCGCGACCGGGCGGACGAGCGCGGAATAAAGACGGGGGTGCTCGCGAGAGGGATGAAGAAAGAGAGAAAAAAAAGAGGAAAAAGTAAAGTCTATCCGGAGTGTGAGTCGACTACAAACGAGGGCGCAACGTAACGGGGAGAAGTTTCTTTGACTCTCGCTCATCCATGTTGATGAGCGAAGAGGCCGCGAGTCTTCTCCCGCAGGATCCCCGGGGAGGCGGGGAAAGGAGCGGGCCCGAGACCGTCGACGAGGGAAATTTGCAGCCGGGGGAGGAAGGGGGAAGGGGAAAACCGGGCCGGCGGGCCGTCGGCCGGCGGGGAGAGGAGAGGGGCGCGAGAGACGGCGATTTGCGGCGTACAAACAGAGCTCCACCTTAGACAAACAGCCGAGTCGAGGAGAGTCTCGGAGGAGTGATTAGCGACGACTGCGGGCGAAGGAGCCCGTGTTTGCCCGGGGTTGTGTCAACAAGCGCTCTTCCACTAATCAGCGACGATAAACAGACAGATTTTACCGTCTCTTCCCTAACGACCGGCTTTTTCCGCCCGGGGCGCGCGCGGCCGATTGTGGGGGGAAAAGAGAGGCGTGGGGGTACCGGGCCGCCCGGGCCCGTCGCCAAGGTAACCGTCCGGAAAGACGTTGTCGGTCACTAAATCATTCCTCTTCTCTCCGTCTCCTAATCCGTTTTATCTCCGGAAAAAATCTCGGTCGTTTCTTCCATCACCGAAATTGAAACGTGAATAATTGATGGTTCGTCCCGGAGGATCCTCCTCCCTCTTAAAGCCCCGAAAACTTTTCGTCGCCGTTTTGGGACTTTAATTTATTGCGTAGCGTACGGCGCCGGCGCTCCATCCGGCGGGAGATTCTGCCAGCGCTCCGAGTGATTTCCCAGCAGCCCGGCCCGGGGTCGGCCCCATAAAAATTCCTTCCCCGTTACATCCGGCTTCTCACCGGAATCGCCGCGCTCGGCGGGGAAGCCGACTCTCTCTCAATATCGCGGCGCGCGCCGAGCGGAATTCCCGAAATTACCGGCGACGAAAGGGGAGCGCGGGGGGAAGGCTCGTTTATCTCCCCGCCTCCGCGCCGGCGTCGGTCCTAGTATATGCATGCGAAGGACGCGACGACCGTCCCGAACATTACCCGAAAGGACTGATTTATGTGCCCGTCCCGCGTTTTTTCCTCCTTTAACTCACCGTCGATACTCCTCTCCTTCTTTTATTACTTGTCTCCTCGCTTCGCCGCCGGTAATTACGCCTCTGGCTCCGGGGTGAGCTTTACCGCCCCGCGCGCCCGCCGCCTTTCTTTTTTTCCCCCGTCCTCCCTTCCCGTTCTTATTAATTTCCCACCCGGCGCGCGCGCCAGATCGCGTCGCTCTCTTAAACGGCGGCGCGCGGCGGCGGCGGATTGTGAACGGGGAGCGTTCGGGTTTTTCCTCCCTTCCTCCCTGCCTACCTCTCGGGCGCCGGCTTAATTTAGCCGGGCAATTTGTGCGTAATAATGTCCGGTACCGCGGAGAAAATATGTAATAGAGACGTCGAAGGGAGGGAGGGAGAGGCGTTTATCGGGCGATAAATGAGAGGGAGGAGGAGAGGCTTGCGCCCCCCGGAAGGGCCCGGTGGGGGGAGGCGAGGCCGCGCTTTAATTCCGTCTCCGGAGAGTCGGGAGCGTTTTCGGAGAACGGCGTCCGGATTCCCGGTAGCCGATACGACATTCCTTTCCCTGGGCGGGAGCGGCGGCGCGACGCCCCGGGAAAGGAGGGGCGACGCGCCGACGCGACGGATGGAAAGAGAGACAGAGAAAGTGGACCGAGCGAAAGTAGAAGAAAGATAAAATAGATTGGAGAGTTTAAAGGCGGGAAGGACGGTAGTCCCAGTTTAATCTGTGACCCCCGCGCCGCCGAAACCTCCGGGGGAAAGGGGACGACGGTGGTCGTTCCACTTTTAATGCGCTCCCTTCCAAACGGTTTATGGATGCGTCCCGTTGGCCGTCGTCTCGCGTCCGGGGAGGGAGGCCGCAAGACTCTGTTTGGAATTTCTATTTCCGCTTCTCCTAGGAGACGGTGGAAAAACTCGCTTATCCCGAGTTATTGCTCTCCTGTTGATTGAACGGAGTCCTCCGGGATTATTTTACTTAAGTATAAAATTTTAAGTCTTGGGGGAGGCGCAGAAAATCGAGCGGGAAAAAATCGGGAGGAGAATTGGAACGTTGCAAATTGGACCGGGTCCGGTGGCTTCCCCGAAGGGAGTCGCCTCCTCCGAGCGGCGGCGGCGGCGGCGGCGGCGGCGGCGCGCCGGCGCGGCGCGAGAAGCGGGCGTACCGGGCGGTGGTGAATCACCGGACCCGGAGGACCGGAGGGTCGAGGTCGTTTCGGTAGCCGGGAGTCGACGGACCGGGCGTATCCGCTTGCCGTTAAATAATTAGATTTAAATATTAACGGGGGGTTTCAATTATGCAGCCAGAGACGAGGGGAGAGGCCGCCCGCCGGGTGGCCGGCGATATTAGCGAGCCATCAATTTTCCCGCCACGACAATGCCTGCGGCCGAAATTACATCCTAAATTTACCGGGCACGCACAACAATCTGAGGACTGCAGGCCGACAGGAATCTCGAGAATGCCGCGCGCCGGCCGACGACGTCTCTCGGACGCCTTTCATTAAACGCCGCCTTAATGACGTCGGGCGATTTTTAACGACGTCCGCAATTGCCTCCCTTTGATTTCCGGCCCGCTAATTGGGCGCGGACCGCTTCCCCGCCGCTCCGCGCCTCCGCCGACGTCCCCATCCCCCGCGCCGCCGCCTCCATTTCCGTAATAACACCGATTGGCATCACCGATTACGCGCGCCTGTCGTCGTCGTTAGCCACCGCGATGACAGAAGTCGAATCCGGAGTCGCTGTTCGCGCCCGCCCGTCGGCGCGGTGGAGCGTGACGCGCCGCGGCTTCCTTTTTCGGCCGCTCCGCCGACGGCGCGCGCCGCGCCGACGCGGACACGTGACGCCACGTCTCTCGGGACAGGCGCGTATATTACGGTAATGAAACGTCGGTCCGTGTCCGCCTTGGGCCGGTGCGCCTCCCCTCTCGACCCCGAACTGCGCTTCCAACGGCGGGGGGGCGCAAACGGGTAATGAATAAATCACACCCAAAAGGATTTTGTGCGGTCCCCGCGAGAATGGGAGTGGAGAGAAAAGCATTGTACAAACGTAATCAGATAAATTGGCGAGCGGAAAATTAATCTGCGCTCGAATGGACTCCGGCCCGAAGGCGCTCGTTACTCGGGGCGAGGTCTCGCGCCGTCCGCCGCTACCGTCCAGGCCGGAAGCGGGCCACTCGGACCGGAAGTTCGGACGCCCGCCCGTCTGCGGAGGCGTCGCGCGCGTGGGAGGACGACATTGAAGCGGTCCCACGACTTCCCGTCGGACGGACATTCTCGTTTAATTGCCGTCTACCGCTCTACGCCGATTTAAAGATTCTACGGCTCCTTCGCCCCCCTCCGCCGTTCTTCCTCTAGTAACTTCTTCTAGGTGCACTTAATTGACAAAGTCGTTTACGCCATTCTCCAGCGTAAAATCGGTCGCGACGCCAAGGCGCAGCCATCGTCGCGCTCTCCACGCGCTTTCTTCTCCGTGCCGGTCAAAACAGAAATTCTCGAGAAGAGAGTACGAAGAATTTATTTCGGTACAAATTGTCGGAAAGAAGAGACATTGAAATTTGCGAAAGAACGGAGACTTGGTCCATTTTCTTTTTTTCCCAGTTGATAGAAGAGTGGATCCCACCATGTCTGTGTCGTATCCGTCTACGGAACTATAAAGGGTCCTCTGGAAATTGTAACGAGTCCGACACTGGTAAGTTATCGAAGAATCGAGAAGAGCAATTCCTCCACACCACGAGAAAACAAAAGACTTCGTTGATTTCCTTCCCTCTTCTACGATTCTTTTGATTCTGTCTTCTTCTTGGTGTCCAGAAGTACTCTTTCCGCGTTGGAGAAAGGCATTTCGATCATCAAGTGAAAGAAGTAGGCGAAGACGAACGTTATTACCACGTACGAGACGTAGCGATCTCCCTGTAAAGACAAGAAAACGTTTCGTCACACGGGATACGTATTGTACACGGTTACCAAACACTACCCAAGAACCGCTCTTACCAGCGTAATGTAGTCGAAGTAGTAAGGAAATCGGATCCTAGACGTGTGATAACAGATGAGTAACGGGTGTAGCAAGTAAGCGGCATAACTTAACCTAGCCAGGGAGGAAAACGGTGACCAAGATAACAGATCGTTGACCAGTCCTGAAAAGAAAACGAGAAGGGTGAATTAGGAGATGTGGTTACCAGTACCAGCGCGTCGTTGCGCCGTCGCTTACCTCCGCGCCCGGTGACGCAAGCGAAACATATCCAGGCCACGGCCGTGGACCAGATATTTCTAAACAGTCCGGAATACAAGAAGAAAGATAAAATAGATTGGAGAGTTTAAAGGCGGGAAGGACGGTAGTCCCAGTTTAATCTGTGACCCCCGCACCGCCGAAACCTCCGGGGGAAAGGGGACGACGGTGGTCGTTCCACTTTTAATGCGCTCCCTTCCAAACGGTTTATGGATGCGTCCCGTTGGCCGTCGTCTCGCGTCCGGGGAGGGAGGCCGCAAGACTCTGTTTGGAATTTCTATTTCCGCTTCTCCTAGNAACAGTCCGGAATACAATACGGCTACAGGGCCTTCGTACACCTTATCCGTTCGGAAGCTCTGAACTCCAAATACCACGCCCGACATGGCAGCCAGGGAGACGATCCATCCTAACACCGCGTATATCTAACAACACACACACACAAAAAAAAAGGCTTTTCTAACCAGCAGGACACTCTCCGTGTGTACTTAGCATTAAACAAAGAAGAAATAAACGAAAAAAACCTTTGGAACCGGTGTTTTTCCTCGCTTGAAATATATATAACCGGTGGCCGCTCCTATCAAAAAAGCTCCGACGTGTTGGTGAGGCTTTATCAGTTGAAACGACACGTGTTTAACTATGGCGCTAGAAACGAAAAGATAATTAATATCGGGTAGACAAGGATTAGGATTAGGAGTCGCGTGGGACCTTGTTTATAAAAACAATTTTTACTTACTGGACTCCGTAACTGGAGTAGAGAGGAGCGGGGGGAAGTCCGTACAGCACGGTAAGGAGCATACACACGGCCATACCAGTCGATGCCAAAGCAATGCCTACACCAAGACCAAGCCAAAAACGTCTGAAAGAAAACACTGACGTTATAGAACACTTATAAAGGAAACGATCCGTAATTTTACACCGTAATAGGAGGGAAGGATTACGGAGAAATAAACACACAGATAAGGTTTTGTACTGTACCCCCTTCTTCCTACAGATTCACATCTTTCCTTCTCTATGGTTCACTTTTTACACACAGTTTGGGTGTATCTGGTGTTAACACCGAGTGCTCCATCCCCCCACTCGAAGGACCTCCGATATCTTCAAAATTTAAGCTCACACTTCACATTAATCGAAGGTGAAGTGCGAGCAACCGAGCTAATCTGAATAAGGCCAACACGGGGTAACTTTCGACTGCCGATAAATCGTAACCGTTTGGAGTTACGCGTAGGAGTGGCACGAGACGAACTCGCTATTTTTCTTCTTCTTTTTTTTTTTAGTACACGCCCATCTTTCGCCCTTTGTACATTATGAAATATCGAAAGTAGAACGACGGATGGCCGCTCGATCGATTATTTAAAGGTGGGAATCGGAGAAGACGTCGAGAGTTACACATTGTAACCCCGGAGGTTATCATCACCGAGTCACGCAGTACTCACTGATAGATGGGAGATGCAATCGTCGATTTGGAACGGACTAAGAGGGAGGAGGAGCGTAAAGTAAACGGAACGAACTGGTGACGTATAGAGAGAAGTGTTTCCATTGAAAACGCGAGTGGGGGTGGAGAAAGTTTACCTGTAACAGAGTTGAAGCAGCGGTACACCAATAACGAAGAGTTGCATCAAGCAGGCCACGTACCAGGTGTGGACTAGGCACTGAAAATAAAGAAAAGCCATTGTTAATTATCATCTTTTGAAATAATAAACCATTTAGGGGGGGTGCCACGAAACTTAAGAAAGTCCTTCAGTAAATTTAAAGTTAGTCTTTAGCCAAGGATCTTCCATTCTTTATGGGAAGATTATTATGGATATAGGACAAGATTTCGTAAGTTTTTGCTACAGTACTAGGGCCTACGTTACGCTAACCACCCAAAAATTTCGAAAGAAAACCGATAGATGGCGCCACGCCAAAAAAATGATTGTCCTGTGTAGGAGTAGGATTCCTATATTCCTTAGTTCTAAATTTGATGCATAAATTTCTATTGATTTTTTTCGAAATTATACGCATTTAAAATACGTTATATTCGTTGTAAAGGGTAGAAGAGTAACCCTTAAAATGAATGGAGTATCGAAGTATGGAGGATAGACACCGAGATATCTTCGTACCATTCTTTATCCACTTACCATATCCTCCATTGACCATAGGTTTTGTAGAAAGAGAAGGTTAGTCCAACCGTTGCGCTGGCAGGCCCCTGCCAAATATTCCGAATTCTCCTTCCACAGAGGTCCATTTCCCAGACGTGGAAGCAACAGGGTCAGGGCTATAGTGGCCCACATCGAAGGGCTCAATCTGAAAGGAAATTTGTAATTAATTAAGTGTCCATTCCCGGACGTTGACACGTTCCTCCCGTGTGCCACATCTCTATCCATCTTTCAATGCGTTGCAAATTACACCATATTCCCGATAATGCCTTAGAAAACGGGTATTTCGGAAGGAAGCAATCTTCCTTCCGAGAGGAAGTAGGAAAGGACCCTCTTAGATTGCAAGAGGAATGTTTGGAGCGATTTCAATATTCACCTCCATAACTTCCGCAACAAGATGGACAGAATGTCGATCCGATCTCCATTAATTTCCAAGGATTTCCAAGTGGAATAGGCGCAAAGGAAGCCGCTAGAAAGAAAAAAAGAAGAAGAGGAAAATTAAAAGATGTTTTAAGTGTGGAAATCGGAAGTAGATCGAGGCCTACCTGATGACGAAGAAAGTATCCACCGAAGGCGATGCATTGTCCAACAAAGCCATGATCGGGCTCCTCGATATCTTCAGATTGCCACTCAGCGGTTCTGTGGTAAAAAAAGCTTATTTTTTTAGTGTTTGACGGGAAATTAGCCAAGGTATATTTTATATTTTCGACGTAGATTCGCGTCATTTCCGTTGGTGGAAGGGGGGTGCGCGTTTTGAGATTTTGGGAAAGTAGAAGTCGACGACCTTCGTCGGATACGTAATCCTACTCGCGGAGAGAAGAGAGGCGTGGAGAAACAGAGAGGTGGAAGCGATATACTTACTGAAGACGGTAATTTGATCGGGGTAAGCCAAGAAGAGCGAGTGCGACAGCATCACCCAGAGGAGCGAGATGACTCTCATGCCGTGGAAGCATCCAAAGGTTCCGGCTCGACTGGTTGTTTCTGCCACCTCCTTAGCGTTAGTATAGAAGGAAAAGCCTCTCAGAATTCTTCCCGTCTTACCTGAAAGAACGAGAAGAGTTTAGAAGAGAGAGAGAGAGAGCATCCCGAGGCGCGTGTTCCCCCGGGATCGATGCAGTAATCCGATATCCTCGGTAACAGGAGACGGCGTCTAAAATCGGAACCGCGCGCCCGGCCACTTACCACCCCGCGGCTTCCTTAATTGGATATCGGTCTCCTTCTTCGACCGGAAAGGATTATCACTCGGGGTTGTTAGCGCCTTCCTTCCTCCACTCTCGCTCCGATTCCGATCTCTAAGTCGACCAACCGGAGTCTACCGGCTGACGAATCCCTACGAGGAACGACAGGATCCCTTTTTACTCCCACAAATAACTAAATAATTGCCTTACGTATCCTACGTAGGATCCTTCTAACCCTATGGAGATCGAAAAAAGGAGAACAAAACCCCAGCCGCCCCGCAAATCTCCTTTCTCTTTTCGAGGATCATCAAGAGGACTTCACGGTGTTTGTTAATTGTTCGATGTTATACGAAATTTCTCGTAATTTATATTACCAAACGTCCCGAAAACTTCAGGAACCATTCCTGTACATCGAGAATTCTCCCATTTATGGGCAATTATATTCGCATACGTTACTCGATAATCCGAAAAATTGTATATTAAGTAATTAAATAACCTGTTAAGGATTAAGTTTGATGTTGTATGTCCTTTGTATTACGAATACGTTAATAAAGAAAAAAATTATAATGTTTTTAAGAGGGAATTTGCATTAATATATATTCCAATCTTCGCCATTCTAATTTATTACTAAAGATATTAAATTCATATATATAATAATAAATCCTCCCTTCAAGTCCGAAGCGACAGAAGGGCGTCAGTTATTGGGATGTTTTCTAGATTCCTGACGGAAAAAAATCCCGAAATTTTAACATTTCGAGGGAAAAAAATAATGGAGATTCCCTCCTCTTACGTCTTCATTAAATATAGGGACTTACTTCGATTCAGAATATCCCTCGACGTGCAAAGGTCGATGAAGGTCCCGACCAGCACCAAGATGACCACGGATGCTAAGAAACAACTGAAAGAAAACAAATGACACGCGAATTTAAAATAAGTCGATGGGGGATTTTTTTTTCTTTTGTAAATTCGCGTCCAGTTTCTAAGAACTTGGCGCCTGTCGGAAGTTAATGGCGTTTTGGGAAGCGAAAATGAAGGAACTGACGTCTAAGAGAGATGGATCAATCGAAGAGCGGAATCGATGACACCCGGCGGTCGACAGGGGTGGGGATTACCACAGTTTATAACGGGGAAATTACCGCAGGGTCGATTAGATCCCCCCGCGACATCGATTCGGTCTAGAGGATTAGAAGAAAAGAGGGCCCACGCGCGGAAGACCCTTAACGTTTTAAGCCAGCGGAACCGCTAGTTGACCTCAACATATGGGATCGACAATGACCCGTGTTTCGTTCGTCTACTGTTGTTGCGGTGTACGAGAAGGATCGAGTTTTCCGACAGGCTTCGCTAAGCACGTGGCCATTATTAACACACCCTCGCCCTCGATAGAGTAATTGGTTTGGCTAAAGAATAAAGAACGGAATCGCAATATTTCAATTCGGGCTTTCAAAGATAGGAGATTGCAATAAGGTCCACGAAGTTCATGGAAGATCCTTTAAGGATTTTCTAATCTCCTCTTAATCTCGAACGTTTAACCAATTAGAAGATTATTATAATTTGGCGCTAAAGAATTAAAACGTATCAAACGAATGCAATTAATCTTGGCTTTTGGTGTGCCTTTCGAGCGGCATCGATTCGGAATTTTATTCCGTAGACTGGGAAAAAAATGGCGACGACGTACTGTACTTATTGGCGCTCGTTTCAAATCCGTCCAATCGGCGCGAAGTATTAATTTCGTTCGTCCTTCCCCCCCTCCGTCGTAAAGGGTGTAACGAACTAAACCCGTTAATCGGGAGGGTGGAAGGTAACAATGGGTTGCATCCGGTGGTTAACCGTTTGAGTGCCGAGTAACTTCCGTCTATCGCGGGAGTGTCGAAAGCGAAAAGAGAGAGTGGGGACGAGTTTGGAGACGATCGCCCGTCGACAGGAGGGACGACGAAGCTCTTATCGGACGTCAGGATTAAAATAAAAAAAAAAAAAAACGATGGGGTACTTTATTATAATTAAAACGGAGCAGGAAATGACTACGCCGTCGACGACCTTTTCCCGTTCTTCCCTCTCGGTTTGGCACGTGCTGCAGTTTCACCCCGAACTAATAACGGCACGGAGCGGAACATTTGCAACGGAATTACTCACCAGGCAGCAATTTCCCAGGACGTAAGTTCTCTTCCTTCCGATTTCTTTTCGCAATTCACTCTGACGACGTCTAACGGCAGGGAATATTTATCCAACACTGAAACAGAAAATACCCTCTCGCTTCTGAAGGTGAAATTTTGACGTTTATTCCGCGCGGAAATTCTTTACCATAAATAACACTTTACTGGCACGTGGGCCTATGCTACGAGCTCTTTTTTTATTATTATTTTTCGAAGCGGCTCTGAAAAAATCTTTTCTTCAATGGGTTGTATAATATTTTTATGGATACCAAAGAAGTGGAGGGAAGGTTTTTCTATCCATGACTTTCTATGGGTATTAATACGGAAATTTATCGAATATTTTTGAGTTAAATGCGCGTAGATCTTCACTTTTTTTTTTCTTTTTTCCACTGGGCGCACGAGGGAAAAAAAAGTAATGGAAAGTGAAAAAGGTACACGTAAATTACCACCGTCGACCGGGTAACGAGTGACGACGACGACTCGCCACCAAATCGATGACGGTACTTTCGCTACACTTCGTTTAAAGTACGCGGTTAGGGAGTGCACGAGAGCACGTTTATCGGCTTTAGAGTAATTAATCCAATTCTGAGCTCCTTGGCCAAAGTAAAATAAGTAACCGAGAGAAAATCGGAAGCCGTATCTCGTTCGGTGTCTAAATAACACTTACCGGAATTCGTCAACTGCAAGACGTCTCTGGTGTTACATTCAGAAGGAAGGCACAGGCCGTATATAATGTTGGCAACTTCCATGGGACGGTAGTCGTACTGGAAAATAAAAAAAAAAACGAAATAGAATTTGCACGGCAAATCTGGCAACCGTGAATTAACCGGGATTTCTTAAACTGGCAACGTTTTCTTCACCTCTTTTCTGGTGGCACCAGTGCGTAATCGTAGCAAATTTTTAACCGACGATTTAAAATTATTCACGGGAAAAATAAAATAAGATAAAATTTGAAGAACGATGTAGAAATATAACATTTTTTTTTTTACAATTGTTTGCTGTAAACGAGCAGGTGTGACGAATCTATAATGGCGTCGTTTACTTAACTGTTGTAAAGCCGCATATACAGTATATATATATTTAATAGATAGGTGAGAGCACCTACCTAACTCCTCTGTAGTCGCGCTGCTGCTTCTTTGTAAAATCATAGGCATAACGACCGAGATCGACCGTAGTGGTCGATGATTCAATTTCTTTACGTGGGTTTTCTTCTGTCGCCAATCTAACAATAGATATCTCGATGACACGAATAACCGAAATGTAAGAGAAATTCGAGTAAAAACCGAAAACCTTCGTGTCTACGGGGTTACTTTTAAACTAATCGCGAAGGTTAATTTCGCGTCATTGCCATTTAAATCTCCGAAATGAATCCGTTTTTCAATCGTTCTTAAGACAGAAGGGTACTGTACGTAGTCTTAGAAGACACTAAAAAAATGTAGATTTTCCTCTAATGCCAGTAACGAATCTTGGCCTCTTTTGCATATAGAAAGGCTCATCTCATGCAAGATTCAATGGGAAAGCGATTCGTTAACAATGCAAATACACAGGCGATAATACTGTTTATTCATTTTCCCAATTGTGTTATAATATACTGTACTTGTTTACCACGTTGCCTTCTGGTGGCGTGTGTGTTAACCAATAAGAGATTAAACACATAATGTACAGAAATTACCCAACGGTTAAAAACACTAGAAAAAAAAAATAGAAAATTAAATTAAAAGTAAATTAATTTTTCTACCAAAACGCAATTCTTTGCGTGCAGTGCAGAGTCTCGAATTTGTTATCGGTATTATCGTCGTGACAGGGGTGATTAGATACATCTAGCGCCATCCGGTGGAACGTTTAAAAATTAATAGAGATATTCGAAAGGTATCGGTGATTAAATGTTACGTATAGAAAAGTGATAGACGAGCTAATAAAAATTATAAAGATGTAAAAAAATATTCAAAATTTCTCATTAGAAAAGTATTGACAATGCAACGAATGCAAGAAGGGTGTAAAAATATTCATCAGTTCAAAATAGTAAGCGAAAATTGTTTGTTAAATGTAAAGGGTTCATCTGTAAGTTGTTAATGGTGGATATTATATATAGTTAATGGGAGGGTAGTCATTGATTTCTTCAAGAATTCTTCGTGTAAGTGAAGTAGAAGGAGAAAATGAATGGCTATACAAGTCGACCCCCCTATAACACTGTTGATAATTCCGTTTTATATGAATTCCATGTTGTACGAGTCACTTAGATTTTACAAATACGTGAGCCGTTCACAGCCCGGCACAAGAATTTGTAAAATCTAAGTGACTCGTACAACATGGAATTCATATAAAACGGAATTATCAATAGTGTTATAGGGGGGTCTACTTGTAATCTGAAAATGAAACACAGTTATATCATTGACACGTGAGGTACGATTCACTTATCATGCAACTTCAAGTTCCCAATTTCTTTCTTTTATACAATTTTTCTTCTTAGTAGGTTATCTAATAAACCAATTTAGCGCTTAAATAGAGGGCCACAAATTAAAAATAATTATATAATGAATTTCGCTTACATATGGGGTATTCGAGAGTCCTCAAAATGTATAAATATTTGTGGTCCATTTTGAGGAATCGTGGGAATGTACAGTACAATTATGACGCTGTATGTTCTATAATCATAGATACATCTGTAATCATTCACAATTATTATAAACAGTAAAATCGACTGTATGAGGTGGGAAATAATGCTGGAGGTGTTCCAATTTAAATAAAATTAACCGAATTATTTTCAATTAACGTGGCAGTTTCCAAGAACTTATGGACAGAACTCAGCCAAAGATTCTGAGCTTTTCTACGATTTATATTCAATGAAATTTCATTGAAAATAATTGTAAAGAAGCACAAAATCATTTGTATCTTTTATAACTGATAGCTTGGTGGCCATTTTCAAAAATGGCCGCCAAGCTAGCAAATTATAATAAGTGTTGCCAGACAATCGATATATTTATTTCAAAATATTTTTAGAAGTTATCCTCAGTATTTATAATTTCATTAAATTCCTCTTATTCATTTTAATATTGTTTCTAATCAATAAAAAATTAACCGAATTAACTTTTTATATAATAAATACAATAAATCTTCGCTTATACTATTTAATATTTCTTGAAGAATCGCCATTTAGGAAGACGTCGTAAAGCGAGGATTCTCTTTCCTATAGGTTCAATGTTATATATTGAGATTACGTGCCAAAATACTGCCTTTTATAACGTCATAATTAAACATTTATACTAGTTGTAAAGCGAGCGATCCCGAAAAGAAGTATGGTGTTTATGAATGAAGAATGATTCTAAATCAATTGTTTTTAAAACTTACCAAATTTATTACTAATATTTTAATATATCGGTGTAAAGTCTCTACGAATAGACTCTTATAACACTGATGGAACATACATTGCGGTATAGTTTGTAACTTACCTTGGGGTTCTTTACTGTTTATTTCTACTTCGCTACAAGTTAAAGCTATAGCAATAACTAGATAATCAAATTATAATGGCGTTAATCTCTTAAAACTTGCTTTTCTGCCAAAGTTGAATGCTCAGAGATGAAGTTGCAACTCAAAGAGATTTCATAATACCATTTGAATACATTTTTAATCTTTGGAAAATCCTTAATGCCTTTACATAAATACTGTATATTTCCTCCCTTTTTTTTTAAATAATGAGAGTGATACCTCGACAAGTATAAAACTTAATCTAAATTCAGTAAAAATCGAAGAACTCACCAGCATCTCGATAGGTACGTCAGCTGATTGTGCACCCAATTCTCTGAAACTTTCGTGTTCTTCGCTAAGTATCACCTTCCATTGTAATGCCAGCTTTATGGAGCAATGCTTTCCAGTAAAGTGAGTCTTCTCTGATTTAGCATCCACTCTGATACACTCGTCATAGGAACCAAGTTCCATGAAGGATCCTTCCATGAAACCGGTAGGGATCTTTCCAGTGGCATCTAACACTGAAGAAACGAAACCATCATATAGTTTTCGACTTGTAACCGTAAGCCACGTTGTTCGAACGGAATTAATCGATAAATCGCGTGTCTGTCGGAAAATTACGTGTCAGTAGCATCTGTGGCATCTGCACGAAGGGAACCCGAAGTCTGGCACATGTCTATTAGTTACGGTTCAACAACGGCTTTACAACGAAAAGAACATGCTACCCTATTCGCTTTCACTCGAGAAAATGCGTTGTTTCGTACAGACACGTCTACAGATTCATCGAATTATTTCATTTTCTTTTGCTACGAATCTAAGTCTGAATCGGTTAATACCAGATAATGAATCATCCAGCCGAAATATGTTCGAAAAAGCACTCGATCGATCATCGCGGTCGATCGATTGCCATAAAAATAACATCCAGGGTTCATCTAATATCGTTTCGTGCCCTATTCTCGCGTAATGACACATAAGTTAAAAATCCTTATACTCTCTCTATATTATCATCATTGATATTGTACTTATGCTAAAATGTTCCTGCAATACAGGGCAATTTCTATAGCCTATACTATAGATAAATTTCAGCTTAATCACTGCCTTTTTTAACAAGTCAGAAAGGTCATAGAGTAGCTAGCCTTAATACACACAAGTATTATCTGTACTTAATAAACTAAATACAGGAAATATATCGTGAAAAACCCTTAGAAAATTGATATAATTTTACCTCTTTACCCTTCGAATTTTACCTTAAAACATTATTTGATAAAATCGTGTGTTTAAATTTTATATTATAATATAGAATTTGATATAGATTGAGAAGAAACAAGCGTAAAATCATAGTAAAAATTTACATATTTGGAAGGTTAGAACTGACGTAATCAAATTAATGTATGTCTTGTTTAAAAGAGTGACGTATGTTACTTCCACACTTCAATAAATCTTTCTTAAGCAACATTTAGGAATGTGATGAGATCCATACTACTAATAGAAGAAGGAAGAAGGAAGGAGGAAATAGGAAAAGAGACTTAATAAAACGTGTAAGTAATGATTATTATCGATCAATATAGTAAATTTGTTTGATATTTGAAATAAAAAGTAACTCAAGAATGCAAATTAGAATTAATTCTGTACCTTTAAACAGCCAAGTAAATACAGTAATTATAGATTGGAAGCAATGGGGACGAAGACGAATGCTTATAGATATCAAAATGATATAAACTGAGCGGGGACATCCGAATTCAAATTATATAGTGTTGTAGAATCACTAATATAATGCAGAATAAATAGGAATTTTAACTAATGATTGGACTAATTAAAGGTCCGAGTGGAAAATACAACATAGTAATCCATTTTCTATCAATTTAATTGGCTTCTAGAAACCCGTCGTAAAGCGAGTCATTGTATTTCCCATAATTTTCTTAAAAAATGATCGTGTGAGATGTGTTTTAACGCTCATTTTAAAGAAAATTATATCAAATGCCATATTTTATATTGTATTATATACACTTAAAACGCTTTATTTCCACGAACGAAACCTCGTTTTATGGCACAGATCGTACGAGAAATCAATGGCTCGCTTTACGACGAACTTCCAGGAAACGATTAGATCGTAAAATGCTACTTTGATCTTCATTTAATTGATTAAAGTAGCAATTAAATTCTATAAAGAAATAAAAAGAAATAAATATTTTATGATAAAAAGCTAAATCAAACCACAAGCCAAAAAAGTATTTTAAAATTAAATTTTTCATTAAAAAAAAATTAGACGATAAAATTTACTAATCGATTACTTCAATAAATAATCGATTAAAAAACATATATATTTGCTACACGTGCGTTGACTTACGATAGAGGGCGCCACGTGTCATTTATCAGGCGCTACGTGGCGACCTCTATCGGATATTTCTGAAAATATACGAGTAATTGTTTGATCTTAAACGTTGACACATTTGAACATTGTTTAAATAGATCACGTTTCATTCTACACGTGCAAACGTTACATTATTCAACTAGTAACGTTTATTATTTAATATTCAATTACGTTAATATTACATTAAATAAACATTTCCACACTTAACAGCAACTCCTATATAAAATATAAAAAACGTAATAACTCCTGTGTTTTTTGTCGAAAATTTCTGAAATTTTGCAGGGAGGTTCGTGTATTAGAGGTATCAATGCTGTTAAATTTTGATGGTCAAAGGTCAACGGGTTGTTGAGATATAGGGGTGTCGTGTGTCGTATCCCGATCGGAGTCGGACTTAATGAAGATTTTACTTGTTATTAGCATTTAAATTTTTAAAATAAAACTCATCAAAAAAGCTTTTTGACATTTTATAATATAAATCTTTTAAATAAAATTCATAACAGATGGCGCCACACATCATTTAGATTCTTTTTCCAGGAAAGTTATGCAACTCGTCGCTGGATTTTTCTCTTGGCAAGCTGAGGAGCTGTTGAAGTGATACACGTAAACTAATATAATTCTGTGTTTTTTGGGGAAGAGGAAGCATCAGCTATACGAAACACTAAAAACACAGTTTCTGGCATGGACGAGAGAGGTATTGTTACAACGAATCCCGAAATATACAAGAAAAATCACGTGGAATCTTCAGCATGGATGAAGGATGAAGAACAATATACCAAATCGAAGCTTATTAAAGATAAGAAGAAACCGCTGAGAAATTTATTAAAAAATAAGGTACTGCATGAGCGGTGGTATAGAAATATAGTACACTAGCAGTATCGGTTGAACAGAACAGATCAACAGAAGTATCGGTTGACACTACTTTATTATACTAATAAAAACCACCATTCTCTATCGATTCTACGTCAGATACAACACCAGGCTGTCAGGTTTCCAGAGTGTTAATAAACACTACATTGGAAGATATGGAAAACTCAGACTGACCAGTGGCCGAGTAGATAAAACCACCGAACACTGGTAGTGGGTTCGCGCTTGGCCAACGGAATAACCACGTTGAATTTTTCGGGTTTCTTCACATCTGTAACACCTAAGTACAGACAAGTTTCTCATAGGAAGCAGAATGCCCACGCGTCGAGTTACTGACATCAAATAAACCAAACCGAAAATTCAGGATTTAATGATAATTATTTGACAGAAGGTCAAAATAAAATAGATCCATTCCGAATAAAGTCTGTATTCTACGAGAACAGAAGATAAAATGGACGAAGAATCGTAAAAGACAGTAGATGGATTAAGAGTAAATGATGAATTATAGTTTGAAGAGGTGTATACCAGAGAGCTTCTTCAATTCTGTGGCCTGAAATAAAGATGAGAACGGGATTTATTTTTTCAAACACTTTCTTCACACGTTGCTTTTGCTCAACTGTATGCACCCTGAAGTGAAAATTTGTGTTTCTCTGTATTGTCATAACACGAACATTTTTTTTTAATATGATTGCATCTGGAACAAAACTATTCAGAGGAACTTGTTTCAGTTTTTTAGGGTAAAAAATCCTATTAGTTTTAGGGGAAATTCCAGGTCTTTTCTTCGCACTGAAGGTTGTTAACGAAATTTTTCTACGTATTTATCAGTTGTAGAAAATTAAACACGCATCAAGTCGAAAGATCAAGTGGTGACTCATCACTGGTGAGTACCACATACATTATTACGTTATTTTCGTGAAAAAAATTAATTGTTTGCTAAATTTCGAGGAAAATAATGTAATAATGTATACTTGATTAGTGTTTAACTTCCCGTTTGCTATTAATACTTGCATAACTTCTATCAATACAAGAGCATCGCAATTACATTTGCATTACCAAAAAGGAGAATTGTGTTGATATTCGCGGGTTTTTTCGGCCATTTTTGCAGTTTTTAATAAGTTATTTTGCTTAATAACAACGTAGGATCCAAGCTACGACCCAATTAACCATCGGTAATCCGGCACTCTACAGGCCCTAATGATGCCGGATTAGTGATGGTCAACCTGTATTTAAAATAGATCTGATGGAAGAATCAGTTGTCTAGTGTGCTTATCTTTTCTTTTTCTATAAATAAAGGAAACTCGTGGCTTCCAAAATTCTGGGTAATTTAAATCTGAAAGGTGATTATTAATTAAAATTTAGGATAAACACAGGATCGATACAACGGTAATTCCCGAAGATGCAAGAAAATAGGAAGAATTGCTTAAAGAAAACAAAAAAGGCAAAGTAACTTACTCTGCAATGCCCAATTTTGTTGATTCTGTAGACCTAATCCCCATTCCCCCAAGGATGATTGGCAGCGAGCAGATATATTGTAATATTGCTCCGTACTCCTGGAGAATGGTAACAACTGGCGAGCCGCATTCTCGGTTAAGCTGTTCAGTAAAGGTTGCAAAGTACCCCATCTGAGATTATCCGGGGATTTGGCAGCAACCGAAATCCATAAGCAGCAGCAGCAGCAAAAAAACAGAACCGAGATGTCCACTGGCATATTTAAATCTGTGCCAGATCTTTCCTTACGTTTAAAAAGACGAAGCTACTACAACTGCGCCCTCCCTTTAAAGTTACGTCGAACATACGACACCCGCCACTAATACGTGGCCCATTTATAAACGGGGTTACTCGTATCTAGCGATGGCCCAATTTAAGTTTCGGTTTGGGCGGCCCTCGTACTTACTACTCGATTCCTGCATCTACGAGTAACATTAGGTATTTGTGATCTTAGTGTTTATCGTCCGAATAGGTCGACGGGTGGTAGGACGACCCAATTCAGTTTGCAGGGTTTTCTAACGGTGCGTATAATTGGAGCGAATGACGGAAGCGTAGTTCTGCCCTTCAATATTTTAAGTTCTTTGCCCTTGATGAAAATAAAACAAGAGACGTGCATTCGTGCATTTCTAGACATTGAACCCCTTTTCTATTTTGCCTCAATTGAGCCCTTCTGTATAACTTTCGAATTAGCTGTCTGTTGAGAATTTCGAGGACCCTTGTGTTTTTGCACCCGTTGCACCTGCCTAGTTATAATACTGATTACCTTTCCTTAATATATAATATTCTCGGTTGCTTCAGCTAGTATTCTTATATAGTAAACTGAAGCTAAAACCTATAGAAGTAACTTAGTATCGAGATTTAAAACCGCATCACATTGATTTCTTTATGTGTTGATCAATAGATTGAAAGCTCCTTTCGTTATAAGTTGACATTTTGACCTCGATTCTACAACGCTTCTAAGCTACTTTCCTGTTTATCAAATAGACATCATACAACTTGAGTAATACAAAGTTTATAGAACAACACTCGGCTTTCTTAAATCAACACAGAAAAATAGAAAAATGTCTGCAGAAAATTTAGTAAAAATTTCAAAATATTACATCATATTTTTTAAATTAATGTAAAGGAAAATAAAACACGAGGTTAATCTCTGTCAATAAATTAAATCTCGTGTCATTTATACAAACAGGAAAATAATTAAGTAAATAACTAAACTCGATTGTGCAAAGACATAACTGATCTAACTTTTAATTAATATAACAATCACTTTCGATCCTTTCTATAGATTATTGAAGTGTTAATACTTCTTATTGAGGGAATAAGAAAAGAAAAATGACAATAGAGAAGAAAGTAAGCATCGAATTTCTCAACTTTTTCGCTCTTCACTGCAGGGGTACAGTTCTTCAGGCACAGAAACAATGTATTGTTCGAGGAGAATCCGAAATTCGGTGGCAGTTTTAGGTTGTAGGAAACGTTTTTACATAAGATTACGTAAATTAAATCCCTCGTCCATACTTAATTACGAATTGTGTGGAATCCGAATACACAAGAACTACATGGACAAACACATTTGTTCATGTATGATGAGCGAGATCTTAGGAGGAATTCTTGATCGCCTACGCGTAAATTCTCCACTGCTGCTACCTCGGATAGATTGGATGATTGACTAATCGAATGATTAATGGAAAAAAAAAATGTGGTAATCTCTTGTGTAAATGCTAAAGCTTAATTCAGATCATACACGAGGAGGAGTTTCTACATCCAGTACACGTTGTAATGATATATATATATATACTTTAATGTAAATATTTAAAAATTTTCTCGTGATTTCTTTAGTAAATGATAATGTAAGTATATGATTACATTTTGTTTAAATCATTTTAAAAGTATACAATCTTTGGATCCAAGCTCTTGCTCTTCTCGACCATTCAAAGGATTTCACATTAATTACATTAATTATCCATTTCAATTCGTTTAAATTTATAGGGGAAAAACAGATCTAAATACGAAAAATTGCCCACATTTCAAGGGCAGTAATCGTTTAACCGGGTGACGAATTAACTACTTCAATTACTCTCTTATCCGTGTCAACACGCAAAGACAAATTATCCAGCCAAAAAAGAAAAAAAAACTGTTATGGATAATGTAATTTTCGAGTTATTCAAATTATTTCGTAATTACAAAATATATATATATATATTTTTGCGTTATTTAAACCGGATCTGACGAAAATGGGTCGATCCCCCGGAGCGATCGAGAATGGATAGAGATAGAAAACTAACGCCATGCGATATCGCAATCGCGACTATTTTCAGAATGTCAAGTGAAAAAAAAAGAAAAAAAAAGTAAAAGTTTTCCTTGGCGATTACGTAAAGTTACTCGCGCGACACTTGAGTATGTCAAAGTCACTTTTACTTTCCCAGATGTCATACATAACACAGGGAAAGTATGGCGATAGGTCAAACCCCTCCCCGAAGATGTTTACGTTTTTTGGACTCGGGTGACCTTGAAATGTCGAGAAATGCGAACATTTTGCGGGATTTTTCTGTATGTATGGATGTTAGTGTGTGTGTGGGGGGGACACGTGTACGTTCGCCCAATTTAAAACTTAATAAATCCTATTCCTTTTAACGAACTTTTACGGGATAGTTTGTATTAGATGCTTCTCGAAAAATCAATGTCAGTGTGCCTGTTAATTCATTATTTAAATTTAAATAGTTTCTACGTCGTTATTAATTTATTCTTTTGAAAAAAATTGTTTCCTTGTAGACATAGACACATTTCCGATATATTCTTTAAATAATTGAATAGTACAAAATCGGTGAAGCGTACGGACGAAAACAATGACTGACAAATTATATAAGGCCTAAATTTTCTTATTTTAAATACAAAAAAATTTATTTAATTAACAGTTTTGTATTATCCTCCGTCCCATTTAACGTATTAAAGGTGTGTCAGAGGTGTTATTAACACGCGTAAAATTGGCAACATTTTTCTCAAGTTGGTACTCATAATGTTCAGTTGATCCACCTGGAGCTTCTTGCAGGAGGCCACCACGTACAATGTGGTGAAATATTTTCTTATGGAAGAGTGGTTTGGGGCCTCCTGTTGGGGCAATTTTCCTTTTTGTCCATAGGATAACGCGCCGTAACCTGGAAGATGTATCAGTGGCTTACTTCATACAGTAAACTGTTTGTTTGAGGCTCGATTTAAAAAGTCAGAAAAAAAAACAATTGGATATTAAATTCAATTTATAAATAGCCCATTTATAGGATCCCGAATTAAGTACCGTTTTTTTTCTAACCGGAAATGATTTATATGTAGGATAAGACGTGGATTTCTGACCTTATCCTATCTTTTTCCGGCTCTGGAATCACATTGTTGGCTCGTTTGACTGTACTTTAAGAGTTACTATTTCTGTCAGCTTTGTTAGCTTCCAATGGGAATATTGTGCCATTATAAGTTAAACAGGTATTGTAAGTTTACACTAGCAACTATCATCAAACACCGAGCAATGACTCCAAATATGAAAATTATCCCACTCGCCGTTGAATGGGCAACTAAACAATCTTTAGTGCCACGCCGAGAGGGGTCTTTCCCTGAGATCCATGGATATTCTATCTCCAAGTTAGCGCCCTTTTTTCTATTTTTGAAAAGCGGAAGTTTAGCAACCCCCGAAAAATAGAATGTGCCTTAATTTCTTAGTTAGTGTGAGCGCTCACATTCAAATGAATGTATACAATTTTGCAAGCTAAAATGTTACTTAACTAAAATCAATTATTGAGTTTCAGGTGTTACGGGTTACAAATAAATTGCCAAACTGTCCAGTGACGTAAACTACTTTTTGCACTTAAATATTTTACTCCAAAAATCATTACGTGTCTATTTTACCGGTAAATTAGGTAAAAAATCTTAAATTACTGGTTCCTTTTTTTTACCTGATTACAGGTAATGCATTTCCTAGTTACATACGAGATGACCCTTTCACAGTATTACTTGGAGGCCAAGTTTTTAGGATGGTTGGAGTTTTTATTTATAAACAAACCTGTTTAAGGAATGCGATTTTAATGATTCAATTAATTATCTAATAGATCTTAATTGTATATTCTATATTCTCTACCCGAGACCGCCTGGTTCCACCTTGAATTTCACTACACACGAACCAGTGGGCATCTGCAGAATATTTTCAGATTGCAAAGCTTAGAGACACATCGGTACATTTAAAAAATATATATTTTAGGGGTTTACACAAGTAAATTATAGAATACAGTACTGCACCAAAGTGTAGTCGAAGGTGTAAGGTGTATTTTAATCACTTATACGATTATAATTTGTGTAGTTTTTACCTCCCTTTGAGGATGATCGTGCACAAATCTCTCACTAAGAATTAACATTGCTACTCTTGTGTTTATAAACACAAATGTATGGCGGGATTCTGTGTGCTACTTCTATATTTAGGGTACGATAATGATAAGGTAAGTCTAAACGGTTACGATTGTTATCTCTTAAACGCTATTATAATCGTGTCGCTTTTTCTAAATGATAATTATTTAATTTAACTCTAAAACACAAGAAATTTCATTAAAATTATCCATAACAGAACACAATCCTCTCGATGGATATCGATAAATTAAGCCAAGAAAACAGAAGAAAGTAAAGATGTGGTACAATAAAACTTCGATTTAATTAACAAAATAATTCGGGATAGGGGTGTCTGTTATAGAGTAAAGTAGGTTTTCCTAATGGGAGTGTTAAAAATCCATCAACGAGTTGCCTATCTTTCCCGGCAACATTTATAAAGTGTGTGGAGCACCATCTGTTATGGTATTTTATTTTAAAAACGGTTTACATAATTACTTATTTTTAAATGGCAAGAAGGTTAATTTTGAGGGTAGGGATGAGTTTTATACAAAAGAAAATTGATTGTAGATGTTAATAACGATTAAAATCTTCATTAAGTCTGACCACGACACCCCTCGATCTTTAATTAAAACAAATAACTGCTAAACCAAGATATATGGTCAAATATATCAGAAAATTCAATACTTTTACATTAGTTATTTATCTGTAGCTCAAAATTTAAGTATGTACGAAGAAATAATTGATAATTTAATTATTTCATTCGCACTTTCATAATATTGCAGTTAAGTTTTCATGTCAAGGCTTTTATATAATCCATTTAAATATATACAGTATTTACTATAAAGTTACGTAATTACT